TAAAAGCATCAGTGGCCAAAGCACGGTCGAGGGCACGGCCGTGCTTTGCCTGACTCCGCCCGTGTCTCGGCCAGGGCTTAATTACACGGCCAGCAAGTGGGTTAAACACGGCCGTGCTTCGCAATGTACACGGCCGTGCTTTGACTGAACACGGCCGTGCTTCGGTGCCCGTGTTTGCAGCTGAATTGGCCAAACTGAATTTGCTCTCGGCATAAAAAGCACGGCCAGCAGTACACGGCCGTGTAATGCCTTAGGCTGCCCGTGTTTTGGCTCCAGCTCACCGAAATGACTTCCGAATGCCCCGAAACTCGCGCTTAGCCTTCCCTTTGACACCTAGGACCTGAAAAATGACAAAATAGCACAACCCGGCGTAAAATAGGCCACAACACACGACTATGCCCCTCAAACGGATAAGAACTAGGGGCGCAAACATGTGCAATTACATCGTTATCAGCGTACCACCTTCACTGTACGCCCAAACTGTGTCTGAATCATCTTAACAAATTCCTGAGCAATGGCAAGCAACTCAGATTTAAGCCGAAGAAAATAAACCCAGGTAAACCGGGTCACATGATCCACAAACAAAGCAAAGTACTTATAACCATGACGAGACGTATCAGGCGAAGGACCCCAAAGATCTGTATGTACCACATGAAAAGGCTCCGATATAATAGTAGTACTAGAAGGAAACGAGCTATGCGTCGTCTTAGCTTCAATACAACTAGTGCAAACGAACTTACCAAAGGAGCTATCAACCTTTTTATTTCCAAATAATTTCTGTTTGAACATCAACATAGTACTCAGTCTACTCGAATGAGGATGACCCAAACGGGAATGCCAAAGATCAATATCCGAATTCTTAACACTAGAGAAAGCCGAACACAAAGGCTGAGAAACCGACTCCCCAGACACCAAAACCGGCGCCTTAGGTACTGACTCCGACATACAAGGTTGACCCGACAGCTCCTCCAGCTGAAAACTCCGCCTCCGTTTACTTCCCCGGCCGATCTGCCTCCCCGTCGTCTGATCCTGGATAAAACAGCCAAAAGAGTCGGACACAACACGACAATTTAGCTCAGTAAGCTGACCCACCGAAACCAGGTTCGGTACTAGTGTAGGAACATGTAATGTACGAGGTAACGATAACCGAGAATCCTGAACATCACCAATATGCTCAACAGATAGGCGAGACCCATTAGCTACTTGAATAGACAAATTCTTAACTGGTTGAATACCACACATCTTAGTCTTATCATTCGTCATATGATTAAAACATGCTGAATCGATAAGCCAAGGTTTAGATGAAATACCAGACCCATGCATCGTGGAAAATGCATTGGTAATTGCCGTGGGAAGAGACCGTTGAAGGGCTGCATTAACAAGCCTCTCCACATCAGCCGCGGTCAACCCCGAGCTAGCAGAGGACTTAGCCGAGGTCTCCCCCGAACCAGCAGCTGAGGCCTGAACAGAATACGCACCCGCAGCGGAGGCAACAGTCGAACTCGACGAGCCCTGAGGACGCGCCTTCAGCCGTCGACACTCCGAGATAATGTGGCCTCCTTTCTTGCAAAACACACAAAAATTGCGAACCTTGCAATATTTTTGAATGTGACCCACCTCTTGACAGTTATGACAAGTAAGCTCGACACCGGGACGCAACGCTGAAATTGCGGTTTGCCCACAGCAAATGCGTCGTCACCCACGGCAGGAGCTGGAGCTTCAGATCGACGTGGATGAACGGCAGCAAAGGCATGTTCGCCCACTCCAGGCCGCGCGTCAAGCTGAGATTGAGTGCGCAATCTAGTCTCTTCCCGAACCAGAGTACTCAAAACCCCTTCAAATTTGATGTCCTCCCGATTAAGCAACGTAGCCCTAACGTTCTCAAACTCCGGCCGAAGCCACATCAGGAATTGCATCAGCCTGGCCTGATTTCGTTCTGCAACAACATCAGCCGTGACTGCCGCAGGTCGAAGAGAAGCAGTCAGGAGGTCCTGCTCTGTCCAAAGCAGTTGAGCAGCCTGGAAATACGCCGTCACATCCAGGTCACCTTGTTCCAACCGAGCGAGTGCGGTTTGCAGTTCAAATTGCCTAGCGACACTCGTTGTCGAGTATGTAGAAGCCACGTAGTTCCACATCTCCGACGCAGCCGTGAATAACCTTAACCCGAGAGCAATATTTGGATCCACCGATCCAAGAATCCAGGTCTTGATACGCGCATTGTTTTGCACCCAGCGCTCGAGCTCTTGTGCAGTAGCCGGCAGAACTTGAGGTCTCGGCAGAGACCCATCCAACATCGAAACCCTTTCCTTCAACAAATATGCGAAAGTGAAATTCCCATAACGCATAATTCTTCGAGTTGAGCCGAACAGACAGCCGATCAGAATCGGTCACGGAAAGCTCTGATACCATGTTGAATTTGCTGAACTGAACTGAACAAATAAACGACACACAGATTTACGTGGTTTCCTCGATAACGGGACTAGTCCACGGGAGAGTTTCACCTCTCCGAGCTGAGAATATTATTAGGTTTTTCGTAGTAGTGCGTTGGTAGGTTACAAGTCAATTTATACAGAACTTCTCCTCTACTAGCACTCTACATACATCGGCTAGGGTTGTAACGGGCTACACAAATATACTACATACATGGGCCAAACAACCAAACCCAAATCCGCTAACATAACCACAGACCAAAAACAATATGTCGAGAAAGATATGGGCATCGAATTGTGGGTTTGGACCAACCCTAAATTTTAGGCTGATTTTAAATTTCAAAATACATATCCCTCAAGTTTGATTTAAGCCTACTTTATCTTTCCCATTCCCCCAACAACACCCCAAGCTAGCTAATTCATTGTGTACCAGTAATCTTCCAATAGACAAGCATATTCTCTAATCGTACAATAAGACCACAACAAATTCAATGGAAGAGAAGAATCCAACCTTCACTTTACAAAACAAAATTCCCTTCTCGCCCTAATTAAACTACCATTTCAAATAATTCAATTTATATATCTCTTTGATTTTTTTAGCTCCAGCTTTGACTGTATTTGCTCTGAGTTCCGTGAGAGGACTCTTTGGAGAGAGAGGACATTCATCATCTACCTTCGATGTTTCCCACAATTTTAACTTATCCAGCAAAACACCACTCTCACTAAGGGTCAGTGGACAAAACAGAAGCACTTGATCTCTTATCTCATGCATGGCTCTTATTTATGTTCGGTACTCCCCATTTCCATTCGCCTCCCGACTACATTTGAAATTAGCATTTTTGGGATCCTGATTAGTGAAACCCTTAACACAACCTAGGATCAAGATGTTTCTATGCATTCTATACAAGCACGACTTGTTTGTGGTAATAGCTTAAATAAGGTGCTTCATTACCTAAATGGTTCATGTTGTCGACCATGATTAAGGACTCGAACCGGAGAGCTTCAAAAGTAAACTTAGGGTTCGTTTGGAAGTTGCGATTGTTAAATAGATGTATTGTTGAGAATGCATGTATAATATTATACATGTATTGTCGAATTTGATGCATTGTAGAATACAACGTTTGGTATGTGTGATTGTGTATATCGTATCAGCTAAAAGCTGAGACACAACAATCTCAACTCAACTATCTTAACAATCACAACTAAAAGTTGAGATATAATAATCACTCAAAATGAGTGATAGTTTATGTCACATCATGAAAACAATCCATGTATTGTTTCTGCTAAAAAAACAAAAAAACAAAAAATGGTGCATTGTAAACAATACATGCATAATGACAATCTCAACAAAACTATCACAACTAGATGTTGTTTATCACTAGTTTAGATAGATGTAGTTCGAGAATAAGTACTCCAGTTTAGCATGAATGAGGTTCATAATTTTGGAATCGAAAGAAGATTAGTGGTGAAAGATAGATTTACTTTATATACCTAAGAAAGACATCCTCTATCACTTGGCGTTAGATGTATAAGTTAACAAAAAAGTCTAACTGAGAGAAGTATAAACTATCAAATGTCAAACCCTAGCAAAATAAATTCTAAAAGTTGAACCATGAAATGTAATTATCTTCCTTTTTTGCCTCTAACTAAACCAAGAGGCTGTTGCTCTAGTAAAGTTACATAATTATTAGGGCTAATACCACTAGGAAACCCGAACTATTAAAAATGTGTCATTTGTGTCCTAAAGTATCCAATATGACATTTGTGTCATAAATTATTTTTCCGTTAGAGTTGACCATTAGTATTTAACAAATGGCACATTCTTAATAGTTCGGGTTAGGACATAAATGACACAAACTATAATAGGTTGGGACATAAATGACACAATACTGTAATAGGTTGGGACACAAATGTCATATTGGATACTTTAGGACACAAATGACACATTCTTGATAGTTCGGGTTTCCTAGTGGTATTAGCCCAAATTACTAAGCTTATATAACTAACTTGTGGTAGTAACATACTTAAGTTGAGAGTTGGATGTTTTTTATTTATTGTAGAGCTTAATTCAAAAAAATTCGATTAAATTCAGTAAATAGATTATAAGTGAGCAAGTGATGATAATATTATGATTATACTTATATTTTCTTTCATTGATGAAATGGGTAATTATGTACTTAATTTATGATTACATGTTTAAAATCGTGTTTGGTGTCAATGTTTTAATGATAATATTTTGATTCTAAGGTTTTTTTTGTTTTTGTTGGTGTTTTGTCATCTTCTGAGAAGTGAACATTTTTACACAGGCGTTTTGCCAACTTTTCACGCAATACCAATTAAAGTAATCATTTTTCACAAGGAAAATAAATGGGAATGCCCCCATGGTTTACTTTTATATTTGAGGAAAATAAGACATTTTCCAATTCCAAGTTTGCCCACAAACCAAACACTAAGAAGAGAATAAATGTGAGAGTATGACCATAATAATTTGGTAAAATTATACAACCAGAAGAAGGTATAATAATTAAAACAATTAAATGTAATATAAAAACTTGAAAATGAAAAGGTGAAGAAAAGCGCATTACACACCAAGGTGCAAAATAGCAACCTCCACCATTAATACTATTAACATCGTTTACTTTGCACTGAAAATTATCAAAATTATTTTTATTAATTTTCCCCTAAATTTTGATCGGCGATCGGAAACCTCTCAATCTTCCCCTTGTCTCCCCCGGCCGTCGAATTTCTTCCCATCGGTCAGGGTAGCCCGCCGATTCTGCCTATCATTCCCCCCTTTCCAAAACCCTAATTCCCTTCTTCATTAAAAAAAGGAGGGAGGAGAAATTGTCTTTTGTTGGGTTCCTTTGTATGTTGGTTGCAGTGTGGGTTTGAGTGTTTAACAGTTACAGTGAGATTCAGCAATCTCAAAGTCACTATCTTGATTTGCTCGAGCTCCCACTGTCCACGTGGCGATCTGGGTCTCTGCTTTCCACTTCTCCCTCTCATGCGTAAATCTCAGTGAGCTCCCTCAACTCCTTTTGTTTCCAGCTTTCTGTCAATTTTATTTCTGGGTTTAATTTTGTTACTTCGCATGTGCTTGTAAATGTGAATCGTAACTGGTTTGGGACTTCCGGACTTCGATCTAACTGGGGAGTTACTTTTGTGGGTGCGATGAATAGTTTTTTCAGCATCATTTGTTGTTAATCTAGGGTTTAATTCAGCTTCGATCTACTTGCATTTGATTTTCAATTTGGAGTTTGAGGTAGCTTCAACTGAATTCTGGGCTAGGTCGCGTGTTGGAGTTATCGATTTTCTCAGCTGGGTTTGTTTAGGGTAGCTTTTTAATTGACGAGCGGTGGACTGTTGTGGCTGCTTGTTTGATCAAAACACTTATTGGAATTCCGGTAAAAATGGACCGCTAGAACTCGAAATTTTCGCTGTTTCATTGCTGGGTTTGATTGTTTTTAACTGATTTGATTTTCAGGTCTGGAGAAGAAAGTAATCCGTACGGTTTGTTGTTTGTTCTGTCTTTCGTTTTTCCGCTTCCATTTCCCATTTGCCAAAAGTAGCTTTGACTGAGTGTTGAATGCGTTCTGAAAAGGAGTTGAACTTATGTAGAGAAGCAATTGATGTATACGTTACTGTTGCAGGACTTTAGTCCCTCCTGTAGAAATTCTTTTGACTTTGATCTGTTGTAATTCATTCTGAGAAAATGTTGGTTGCAGATAAGGAAATGTGCGTCTTTGGTGGAAGGAGTCGTCATCTGGTGCATTTATGCTTGCTAGGCTGGCCATAGCTTTTGCTTCAAAGGTTTTTAGTTATACACAGAATCCAAATTGATCTTTCACCTGTAATGGAAGCAAACATAGCAGAGGCCATTCGAGCCAAAGAAACCGCTGAGAGAAGATTCGCGGAGAAGGATTTCACCACAGCTAAGAACTATGCACTCAAGGCCAAATCCCTTTGCCCAGGACTCGAAGGCATCTCTCAAATGCTCGCCACTTTTGATGTCTACATGGCATCTGAAGCCAAATGTAATGGTGGCCAAGTTGACTACTACTCAGTCCTCGGCTTAAAACCCACATCGGATCGAGATGCCGTGAAAAAGCAGTACCGGAAATTGGCTGTCTTACTCCACCCTGACAAGAACAAAACAGTTGGAGCAGATGGTGCCTTTAAACTTGTCTCAGAAGCTTGGACTGTGTTATCAGACACCCTCAAGAGAGCCTCCTACGATCTCAAAAAGCAGTATGCCACAAGCTCATCAGTGAAAAATCATGGTCTCGATACTTTCTGGACGGTCTGCACCTCATGCAGAGTTCAGTATGAGTACCTTCGGAAGTACGTGAACAAGAGGCTTTCTTGTAAGAACTGCCGGGGTACTTTTGTTGCTGTGGAGACGGGTACAGCTCCAGTTAATGGGTCTTTTCCCTATAGTCCTTGGACTTATGTCCCTAACACAAATGGCTACACAAGTTATGAAGGGGTTTCCTATATCCCTACCACGACAAATGCTACTGTATACACCACTCATGGATATGATTATGTTCCGAATGTATCGTTTCAATGGGGATCTTACTCTGGAACTTCTGGAGGTTTATGTTCTAATGGAGCTTCATCTGGAGATGGGTTTTATCAGGTTAATGGAAATGTTGCTTCTCATAGACGGAAGGTTAAGTCAGGGTTGAACGAGAAACTGAAAACTGCTCCTCCTGCTCCTGCTGCTGCTGCTGCTACTGTGATGGCTAGTGTGAGCACGAATGCACCAGTTAATAACTTTGTCAGGTATCTCACCAAAGCTGGGAGGCCTGATAAGAGAAGGAAGATTGTTGTTGGAGCGAGTTTTAGAAATGGGTTTGAAGAAAAAGATCCGAACCCTCCATTGGAATTAGGGTTTGCTGATGCGCATGCAAAGCTAGAACCTGAACCTAAGGTTTCAAGCCCGGTTGTGGTCCTGCCTCCATTTGACGTTAGGAAGTTTCTGATAGATAAGGCGAGGTGTGAAATTGGATTGAGGTTGGAAGAAATGGAGAGAACTGAGTCTGCCCTTAAAGCAGATTCTGGAATCTTTTCTGGACGTGTGAGCAATAAGCTACATAGTATAACAGTTCCTGATCCAGACTTCCATGATTTCGATAAGGATAGATCGGAGGAGTGTTTCGCACCAAAGCAGATATGGGCATTGTACGATGAAGATGATGGCATGCCTCGACTCTACTGCTTAATCCGTGAGGTGGTCTCTGTTAAACCCTTCAAGATTCTAATAACTTACTTGAGCTCCAAGACAGATGCAGAATTTGGTTCGATGAACTGGATTAGTTATGGGTTTACAAAATCTTGTGGACATTTTAGAGCTTGGAATTCTGATACCATTGATAAGGTCAATGTCTTTTCTCATCTGTTGAGAGGGCAGAAAGCTGGAAGGGGCGGATGTGTGAGGATCTTCCCAAGATGCGGCGAGATTTGGGCGGTTTATAGACATTGGTCAACTGAATGGACCAGGTCAACGCCAGATGATGTGAGGCACAGTTATGAGATGGTGGAAGTGCTGGACAATTACTCTGAGGATCAAGGAGTCTGCATTGCTCCATTGATCAAGCTATCTGGTTTCAAGACGGTTTATCAGAGAGACGAGAGACAGGATGCGATAAAGTGGGTCCCGAGGCCTGAGATGTTCCGGTTCTCTCACCAGGTCCCATCTTGGTCTCTTGACGGGAAGGCAAGCAATCTTCCGGATAATTGTTGGGATTTGGATCCTGCAGCAACTCCCGACGAATTGCTTCAAGCAAAGGGTTAGTTCTTTCATTCCGGGGGAGGTTATGATTTCATTACATCGTTACAGAAGGTGAAGATGATGGATGTTTAGGTTGACTGTACAATACTTGCATGCATGGATGGCTCAACTAAAGACGTCATCTTTATGCAAAGATTTAACTCCAAATATGATTTTTAGAATTTCTTTTACCTGTTTTATGTTTCTTACTGAGGGAAGAAGTGAAATGATGAAGAACCCATAAGTCTGAGAGATTGTAGGAGTCTTGTTATTGGATTGGGGGGGGGGCGGGGGGGCTGACGGAAACTTGTACTGTCCTTATATCTCCTTTGTTTGTCTGTCTGTCCACAGTGCATCTCTCAATCCCAGCATCTTGTCAGATTTCCAGTCTTAAGTTTTTTTTTTTTTTTTTTACAAAAGATTATCATAAATTGATTCAAAAAATAGGCAGTTACACCCTGGAAGACAGCCAGGTCTGAAAATCAAAAGAACGACTCATGGCCGGGTACAAAGAAAGGGCTTTTCTAGCCACCAAATGGGCTATCCTGTTACTACGCCGACCTACAAACCGAATGCTAAACCTAGGCAGGACATGGAGCCAATTAGCAATTTCTTCAAGAATAGAACCCATCATGTTATCTCCATGATCCCCCCGATTGAGTTTGTCAATAATGACCTTGCCGTCGCCTTCAAAACGAACATCAGTAAGGCCCAATCCCTGACACCAAAGCATAGCCTCCCGAAGCACCAACAGTTCCACAACCATCGGATCATCAATACCCACAATTTGCACACCCGTGGCCATACTGATCACCCCTGTAGGAGACAGAAGAACCATTCCTCCCGCCGAATGGGACCCCCTCCTAATGGCCCCATCCCATCTACAGACCATACGCCGATCACCCCCCTCCTCCAGAGAACCAGAGTTAGGGGAAGGAGCCTGAGCGAAGGAGCAGGCAGGCAACCGAACTCATTCCTGATACTGCTGGATAAACTAACGCATCAACACTGGGGGGGGGGGGGGGGGGGGGGGGGGGGGGGGGGGGCTCTGTTTCTGTCTGAATGGAGCTCTGTTGTAACAATTTAGTTTTTAGAAAGAACTGATTGAGGTCTGAAACATTCGCTTCTCTGACGGAAACTTGTACTGTCCTTATATCTCCTTTGTTTGTCTGTCTGTCCACAGTGCATCTCTCAATCCCAGCATCTTGTCAGATTTCCAGTCTTAAGTTTTTTTTTTTTTTACAAAAGATTATCATATATTGATTCAAAAAATAGGCAGTTACACCCTGGATGACAGCCAGGTCTGAAAATCAAAAGAACGACTCATGGTCGGGTACAAAGAAAGGGCTTTTCTAGCCATCAAATGGGCTATCCTGTTACTACGCCGACCTACAAACCGAATGCTAAACCTAGGCAGGACATGGAGCCAATTAGCAATTTCTTCAAGAACAGCACCCATCATGTTATCTCCATGATCCCCCCGATTGAGTTTGTCAATAATGACCTTGTCGTCGCCTTCAAAACGAACATCAGTAAGGCCCAATCCCTGACACCAAAGCATAGCCTCCCGAAGCACCAACAGTTCCACAACCATCGGATCATCAATACCCACAATTTGCACACCCGTGGCCATACTGATCACCCCTATAGGAGACAGAAGAACCATTCCTCCCGCCGATTGGGACCCCCTCCTAATGGCCCCATCCCATCTACAGACCATACGCCGATCACCCCCCTCCTCCAGAGAACCAGACTTAGGGGAAGGAGCCTGAGCGAAGGAGCAGGCAGGCAACCGAACTCATTCCTAATACTGCTGGATAAACTAACGCATCAACACTGGGATCCCAAACTGTTTCTCTTCAAACACCACCCCGTTACGTGAGCGCCAGATCCGCCAGAGGATGGCAATCACCGCCATGAACAAAGTAGGTTGATTGATTAAGCCCAAAAGCTTTTTGAGAAACAAAGGAAATGTCTGACGAGGTAACCCCTCCCCTAGATAGTCCAATCTCGAGTAGTCCCAGAGGGCTCGAGCTACCGGACAGTATAGGAACAAATGCTCTAATGTTTCGGCACTATCCCAACAAACCGGGCAACGAGGATGAACTGGGACCCTACGCTCAATGAGAGCCTCGGTAGTTGGAAGGACCCGAGAGAGGATCTACCAGACGAACACCTTCAGCTTCGGGGGAATGTTTGCTTCCCACAGGCGAATCCAACTAGCCTTATCCATCCAGCTGACAGAGTCTTTCCACCCACCCTTCCGCTTATCCAGCAAGACAGCAAGGTGATTGGCAGACTTGACCGAGAACACCCCATCAGTAATCTCATTCCAGATCAACTTGTCCTCCACATTCTGCCGCGGGAGGGGAATATCTTTGATGGACTTACAAGTAGCAGGATCAAACCATTGCCTCAGTTTGTGGTCACACCAATGCCCCCCCTGACAAATAACCTCGGCTACGACCGAGTCACCCCCATCAGGCAAAACACAAGGATTATACTGAGGGGGATCCAACTGAAGCTGAGGGATCCAATTGGAGTTTAATAAAGAGGCTGACCGACCATTACCGATTTGCCAGCGCAATCCCTTTTCCAATAACTGGCGCCCAAAGAGAATGCTTTGCCACCCCCAAGAAGGACGTGACCGAGCTGTAGCAGTGAGGAAGGACCGATTGGGGAAATATTTTCCTTTGTACACCTGGGCTAGGAGGGACTGGGGATCAGTTAGTATACGCCAGCCAATTTTGGCCAACAGAGCTTGATTAAACTGCTCAAACCTGCGGAATCTCATCCCACCATCATGCATCCTACACATATGCCGCCAGGAGACCCATCGAATTTTCTGATGACCCTCAACCTCCCCCCACCAGAACCGAGCCACTTGCTTGTCCAACAGACGACATAGCGAGGCAGGTAATTTGAAACACGACATTACATGCAGGGGCAAAGCCAAAGCAACAGACTTAATTAGGGTCTCCTTGGCTGCCCAGGATAAAGTTTTCTGCTTCCATCCCTGAAGCTTTTCTAACAATTTCTCCTCCAAGTACCCGAATGTAGCCATTTTGGATCGAGCAAACAGCATGGGCAGCCCTAGGTATTTATCGTGGACCCCTACTGCCCCAACCCCCAGAATCGAAGCCATGAACTCTTGATCAGCCAGAACTATGTTCTTGCTGAAACAAACAGCAGACTTGGCCAGATTCACCCGCTGACCGCTCAATTCTTCATACTCATTCAAGACCTCGATCAGATTCTCACATTCCTGAAGATTCCCCCTCAGAAACAAGTAAGAATCATCAGCAAAAAAAGGTGAGAGATTCTGGGGGCACGGGGAGCCACTTTAACACCCTGAAGCTTATTATCCGCAATTGCCTTACGCAGAAGAGCCGTAAAACCCTCAGTGCAAATCACGAACAAAAGAGGGGACAACGGATCTCCCTGACGCAGCCCCCTGGAAGACTTAACGTATCTCGCAGGGGATCCATTCATCAGGACAGAAAACGAAGAGGACCTGAGGCACTCAAGAATCCACCCCTGCCAGACAGAGTTAAAACCCATCTTATTCATAACTGCGAGGAGAAAGGGCCATTCGACTCTATCATAGGCTTTTTCCATGTCAACCTTTAGAGCCATGTACTCTTTCTTTCCTCGAGCTTTGATTTTCAAATAATGCATTAACTCATGTCCAAGGAGGATGTTACCAATTATCTGACGTTCGCGGATAAACGCATTTTGACCCTCAGAGATAATTTGAGGAAGGACGCTCGCCTGTCTTTCAGCCATAATTTTTGTTATAATTTTGTAAACAAATTGGCACAGGCTGATTGGACGTAATTGCCGCATAGTCTCCACATTGTCCACCTTAGGAATCAGGGTGAGCCAAGTGTGATTAAAGCTTTTAAGCATCCGGCTCGTCTCAAAGAATGAACAGACTGCTGCAATTGCTGACTCTCCTACCACATCCCAGAAAGCCTTAAAGAACTTCCCCGTAAACCCATCAGAGCCCGGGGCTTGCTTTGATCCCATGGAAAACACAGTTTTCCGAACTTCACTGGGTAGGACTTCGGCCGTCAAGGCAGCATTCATCTCTTGAGTAACACTATGAGCAATGGGGAGATTATCTACCCGCTCCGTCATATTGGGCACATGATTTTCAGAGGTGAAGAGCGACTGGTAAAAATCAATGGCAATAGCTTCTTTCCTTGATTCCTCAGTGACCCAATCCCCATTGTCACTACGGAGACCAGCAACGAAATTACGCTTTCGTCTAGCCCGATTAACCGTATGGAAATAAGATGAATTCTGATCCCCCTTCTTCAACCACCGGACCCTGGACTTTTGCTGCCAGTAGATCTCCTCAGCCTCCCATTGCCGATTCAGCTCAAATTCGAGGTCTCTAACCTCATTCCAATCAATAGGGTGGACCGTTTTAATCCTTTCAATCTCAGCCTGCAGGGTCTTAATATTCCGCAGGGAATTAGTAGTGCCTGCCCTGCTCCAATCATAGAGCAAATGGCGAAGCCTTTTGAGGCGTTCCCAAAGGCGGAACATCGGGGTACCCTGTATTTCCTCTTTCCAGACATAATTAACCATAGCCCTAACCTCGGGATTATCAGCCCAGCGAGCATCAAATCGGAAGAGGGGGCAGCTATTACGGGTGTAGGTCTTGTCCGAAAGAGGGAGGGCACGATGGTCAGAGCCCTGGATGGGAGCACAGAGCTCGATCCAGGCGTTCACGAATACAGGCAGCCCCCATTCATCTCTTTGTCCAGGTGAATTGGTCACCCTGATATCCTGGGTCATGTAGACCAAGGTTCTGAAAAAAGTCTCGAAGGCTTAGAGATTGAATAGCATTCCAAGGCATCCCACCATCCTTCTCCCCCTCATGCAGAGTAGAGTTAAAGTCCCCAATGACAACGTAAGGATGGCGGATGTTATCACAGATTTCACGCAACTGGGCCAATTGAGTGGCACGGACAGCAAGATTACAACTGATGTAAACGAAAACTATCACATAGGAAGAATCCATTTCATTAACTTGAGTGCAAATACAAAAATTTGAGTGAAAAAACACCGAAGCATCAACTTCGAGGGACCAAGCTACTACTAAACCTCCAGATGCCTCAACCACATCGACAAAGAAGCAACAAGAAAGATCAAAACCTAACCCCCACATGCGACGGGACACTGCTCGCCGGCTCGATCGAGTCTCCGAGAAGAACACAAGATCCGGTTTATTGGAATGAACTAACCCTATAGCTATTTGGAATGTGAGGGATGGCCCAATTCCTCTCACATTCCAGGCCACAAGCCTCATTTATTCCAGTCTTAAGTTATGCAGAATCACATTGAGCAATGAACTCCAATTGCTGTACCACCCTTTGCTCCGACAAACTTTAACTGGCGTAATATAATGACATAATCAAGAAAGGATAACAAAAA